CTGACTTAATTGTATACAACTTTGTACATGGCTGGAGCCAGCCAGATCCTTTCTCGTGTTGGATGGGGAAGGGGCAGCAAGAAGATCTTGGGAGCCCCCTCCCCGACTCATGACTAGCTCTGCCTCTGCGACAGTGGCTATGTCAGTTCCACGTTTCTATCCCCCGGGCTGCCCCAGGACAGACCCTTGTTACATCTTGCTTGATTATTTCAGCCACCTCCCAGATATCTTCCAGCCTGCAGTTACTATACATTTCTCTTTCCTTAATCCAGGGGAGGACTAAGTTTAGGAGTCTATCAGCATCTTATTCTTTTTATTTCATTTAGGCCAATGAAAATGTCACCCCCTCAGTGAGACTTCTCCTGTTTCCCCAGCAAAATTCGTCACTGTACCCTCTGGGCTTCCATCATAAGTTAAAATTCTTTGCAACTTTTGCCCCCTCTATTTTCCAGGTGTCCTTGCAATCTAGTGAGGCCCTTTATCACATATCTCTGTTACCCTACTAGATGCCCAGGCCCTTGGGAACACACACAGGAGGAACTCCCCAGACATTTGAATGGAATTGAGTTGGGGTCGTAAGGATTTCTGGGGCATAGGGATGGCCAAATATGGATCAGAACGGATTGGAAAGGAAAGGCAGAGAGCTGGAAAGCACACTTCATAAACTGCCGAGCCCTGCAGGTGACTAGCAGTGGAGGTCTTTCTCACTTGGTTGGCACAAAGCAAGGGCTCTTTACCTTGGTGGCTGCTTAAGCCCCATCCCAGACAAATAAATTAGAATCTCCTGGGTGGGGCTCAAGCACCCAGTGATTTCAATGGGCGGCCAATTGAGAACCACTGGCATAAGGAAATTAGAAGCTGCAGGCGTCTCCTTTCTTTTATGGAGTTACCCAGAGGTCACTGCAGAGTCCTGCCAACAGATAGCAGAGAGAGCGAGGGAATGACAAGCATGAGTTGGTGGATAGCACCAACGTGGAAGGCATTGGCGAGGTCATCTCCTTTCACCCCTGGTATACGCCCTGTTGTCTGTGGGCCTTGGAGCTTTACGTGAAGCCAGAAGAGGGACTTCAATTTCAGCTCACTGGAGAAAATCCATTTTCAGGGTTGTCCATCAAGCTATTGTCCCAAGCAGCAAATCCCCCCAGTCAAACCAGCCCACAAAACCAAAACCAGAACAGAACCACCACGCAGCTGAGTAGTCACAGCTCAGTGACTCCAGGCATGTCTTGTTCTCTTTGAGGGGCTTTCCTCCGACAGGACGTCCGTTTTTCTTCTGTTGCCAATAAAAATCCCCAGCGCTGTTCTTTCTCCTTCGCTTCCTTCTATTGCTTCTGACAGAGTTTGCCAGTTAGCTGAGGTCAGGATTTCCTTTTTACAAACAACCTGCTTTCAGTCAGTGGGGCCAAAGGTTTCCTAAATTACAAACCCTTTCATTTCTTCTGCCACAAGTTATCCTGTCAGTTTGTATAATTGCACAGAATGGAGAGAAATGGAAGCATTCTGAGAGACACTGGAAGAAAGAAGGGCTTTTACCAACTCTATCTTTTCAGATTGTCAAGAAATTATCCCAAGTTGGATGGACAGGACTGTTCCAGCTGAGGCTTTCGTAGCTGTGTATTATATGGGTATATTCCAGTGTCTGCAAGGAAATTTCTTACAGGTCGTGAGGGAACACACAATGTCTGTGGCATCATCTTTACATTCTGTTAAACAAATGGCCTCCTTTATATTCATTTGAATTGAGAAACAGCCATGTCATATTCAAATGTTTTAAAAAGCAAATTTTGGAAGTTATTACAAAATGTGTGTGTGTGTGTTTGACATTTGTAAATACTGATTGGAAGAGAAATTTTAAACCAACCTCTGAAAGGATGACAAAGAATTAAGGATCTAAGGTTGAAAAAAAAAAACCAACAACATTCAGACATCACTGGACAGTTGTATTAACTGTGGACAGGATGGCAAATACTCCTTGAAATGGACGGGGCTGCCGAAGCTCCCCCTGTGTGTGGTGACAGAGCAGGGAGGCAAGCCAACTTTTGGGACCTGAGCGCATGATCTTTTCACGATTCTGTGTTGTATCCAAGAGTTGGCTGGGGTCATGACACTGCCTTATTTGGCTATGACCTCTCAGGCAAAGCATTTAACCCGAGTTTCGTAATCTGTGAAATAAAAGGGGCTCAACTAGACACTCCTTAGACCTAACATTTTGAGTCTAGTTTCGCATAGAAATACCTCCACAGTGAAAGGTTGCGGGCTGCGTGCGCTACGGCGGGAGCCTGAATGAAATCTCTCTTCCTCTGCTCTTCCTTTTCTTTCTCCGGTGAAAGGGGAATAGTCATGCTCATGTGTAATAAAAGTACTAAGCTTGAAGTTTTGCTCCGAGGGGAAGGACAGTTAAAGCTCTGACTCCTCGCTGGCAAGTGCCTCGCCGCCTCTCTCTCCTGGCCTCTCCAACTCACACCCTCTGCGCGTCAGTCCTCTAGTTGTGTGGCGCATCTTCCCTTGTTGTCTTTCTTTGCCACACTCCTTCCACACAAGGCCTCTTGCATGTTCTTCCTTCTCCCCACTCTGCTCAGGCCAATGCCAGCCCCAAGGCCTCAGCTTAGACATCTGTTCTTCAGGGAGGGTTTCCGGCCTGCCCAGGCTGCCCCACCTCTCAATCCATCAGGATTACCCTTGAAGCTTGCTTTGTCGTTGTCATTCATTCTTGTTTAATAGCCACCATCCCAATGCTTGAGGCCAGGGACTAGACTGCCTTTTTCATCTTGTTTCCTGGGCTAGGCCAGAATCATGCAGTGCCCCATGAACGGTCTGTGAAGTCAAGGAGCTGGTTCTTTAGTTGGGGAGAAAAAATGCACGAGAATACTTAGGCAGCATAATAATAGGCGACATCAAATAATATGCCAGGCAGTGTCCCAAGCACTTTATATATGTTAACTTACTTTGTCCTCATAATCACTCTCTAAAGTAGAAATTATTGTTATCCCCTTTTTACAGATGAGGAAACTAAGGCACAGAGAAGATAAATGACTGGGCTAGCTAAGACCGGAAAACTGGGATTCGAACCCAGGCAGTTAGCCTGCAGAGGTGAGGCTCTTAACCACTAGGCAACACTGTCTTACAGTGTGAGTGAGACCCTTTACTGTGGAGGAGTCCAGACCCCTCTTGTGTCTCACCACTCCCCCCATCCAACCCATCAGCAAGTCATGTCATTGCAATCACTAAAGAGAAATCTAGGTCTCCACTTCCCCCTCCTAATCTGGATCTGGCCATTGCTCATGTGGACTGCCCTACTAGCCTAGTAATTTGTTTCCCTCCTTCTCCTCTTGCCCTTCTACAGCCCTCTCTCCAGCCAGCAGCGAGAGCGACCATTTCAGAGAGTACGTAGATCGGGTCGCACCCTGTCTAAACCCCCCAGTGGCCTCCCATTCCATTTAGAATAGCATCCAAATCGCTCACCTTCACTTCAAGGCATCCCGGTCTCCGTTCTCTTCCAAAGTCATCTCTTCTTGTGTGGGACTTTCACTCCCGGAACACGGTAAATAGAAGCAATCTCCTCTGAGGACCTTTGCTGTTTGTTCTGCCCCCATGTTCACAGGCTGCCTACTTCTTAGCAGCTGGTCTCAATTCGGATGTCTCGCCTCTGTCCATCCTTTCCAAGGCAGCTTATGCCCTGTCACTTACCCATATTCCATTTTGATTTTTCTTAAAGAACATTTCCCACTGAATGTATCTTACTCATTCCTTCAGCAGTTCATTTCTGGTCTATTTCCACCTACTCCAATGTAAAATCCATCTTCAGGAGCAGGGACCTGCTATCCTCAGCACCTAGGGCAATGCCCCCGTGGCAGGGGCCCAGTCAGTCTTTACTGAAGGGAATAATGTGAACTGCCAATGAGATTATGGACATTAGGCAGGAGAAGTTACAGAGAAGGAGCAGACACTGTGTGCCCGGATGGGGAAGGAAGCTCTGCAAAGGAGAAGGCACTGGGGCTGGACATGGTTTGGGTGGACTGAGAGTAGACGAAACCAATGGGAATGCTTTGAGCAAAGATGAGGCGGGGATGCTTACAGGCTGTTTGGTCCATGAAAGGGCCCAGGTAATGTGTACTAAAGGTTTGTTTATAACAGTGCTGACAGCTCATGTTGGGAAGAACATAGACTATTATTTGTAAAGTCTAGAATGCCAGGTAAAAAAAAAACCTGGGCTCGAATCTATGGTCAAAGGGGAGCCCTTTAAACATTTTGGCCAGGGGGTGTCACATTAGAGTGGTGCTTTAGAAAATTCATCTTTTGAGAGCATGTCCTTTATTTTGCTTATTTTTCATACTTCCTTCACCAGAGAACTAAAAATCCCGTCACTCACCACCCCTGCCTGTCTTTAAAGACTTTGCCCAAACTGTTTTCATTCTTGGGGTGTCTGAGCATGCTCACACGCTTCATTACTCCAGCTGCTTGGCCCAGTGTGTGCGTGTGAAAAATGATCATTGCAGAACTGATAAAAAAGTCAGACAACTGCACGTTTGATTCGCATGTGTCTGTATCTATGAATGTTGTGTTTCTAAGATTAAATTCCAGGAGGAAGCAAGTTGTGCTGTTTTATAGTTCTCTGTTGGTGACTGATCTGGCCAAATCTTAGAGGCATACATTGTGGGCATTCTTTATAGATGAAATTGTCCCTTGGGTCTTGAAGCAGCTAAATCTATGCTCTGCCATCCAAGACGCCTGATGCTGAATTCTATCGTAGATGGATGAGTAAGGGTCCAGTTTATATAGTTCTGGAGGAAGCAAAGAGCTTTTCCATTCTTCTGTTCATACAGTGATCAAAGAAACAGCTGTTGCCTTTCTAGTTCAGTCCCCTCAAGGACTGATAAAGCCATTACTACAACTGCTTTATGTCCTTCCTTTTGTTGGACAATGAGCATTCTAATGCAACCAAGATCCTGTTCTGTCTTGTAACCAAGAGCTGGAGAAGAAAATATTGACATTCAAGGAGCTTACAGTACTTCACAAATCAATTTTATTAATTTAAACACAAAATTAATGAAGAAAAATTCTGTACACAATTGTGGACACAACACACCTTTATACAGTAAGGCCAAGATAAACTTTGTCTTGTCAATCTGCAGAGTACAAAAACGAAAAATGAAAAGGCTAAAAAATTGTCAACTTCTGTTCGCTTCAAGCAAAAAAAAAACGAATTCAGTTGGGTTAATTTAAACAATTTAGAGAATTCACAACTAATTCTAGCAGCAACATGAAACTTCAGAAAAGGAGAGAGTAGCTCTTCAGCTACTTTGGGTCAAAGGTGGTGTTTCTTTTTTCCCACTATGTTAAAGAAAATTAATTCAAACAGTAATTTCACGACAATGGAAGGCTTTAGATGACAGAAACTAATGCCCAAACTGATCAATTTTGGACAAACTTTCTTATGATCTAACAAAAGTGACAGTTTTTATTTCCGAGATTTATGTTTGTCATGTAATACAGAATGGAGGTGAAGAGTAACATTATTTCCTTGGTGATGATGACCAGGCCACATCCACTGCTGGAAGTGAACTTTCCTGGGAGGGTTGGGGGAGAGTGTGGAGGGAACCTGAAAGTAGGAAGTAATGCCAAGTTGTGATTTCCAGAGATGTGGTAATGTCCTCTTTTATCTAAACAAGAAAATGCAGACGCTATAATCTGAGCACATGAAAACTTTGCTTTGCTAGTCTCCAATTCATGAACCATTTTATTAATAAAATAGATCTATCATCTACATTCTTTCTGTGGGAAGAAGCATTTGAATAATCATTTTTTTTCCCAAATAGTTACATATAATACATTAGTGTTGAAGATGAAAAAGTGAGGTTGTAAGAGGACTTTTTGTTTCAAATTACCTAAGACACTGCTGTGTTCTTTTACTGAGGCCCTCCTAACAGCCTAAAACAAAGAACTGATGGGAAAAGAAAATTGGGAAAACAGAATCCTCTTGACACTTGACATCCATGCTTTTGGTCTTGACAACGTTATCTAAAAAAAAAAAAAATCCATTATCTACATATTTATAGCCAGTACTTTGCTAAGGCATGGCACATGACTGTGCACATAATGCCTCATACTTCACTATCAAGGCATTGCAACCTCTCAATATCATTTTCCTAAACAATATGTAAAAGAATCATCCATTATTACAAATTTACACCAAAAATTCTTTCTGTACATGATTGTCTCAGTGATGTACATATTATACGTTTAAATTAGACATACTTTAAACTACTTTGCAATGTGCTAAAATTCAAAGTACTTGCTGTGTCGTGAGGCGAAGGCCTTTAATCGCTTATTTCTTATGCTATTGTCTCTTCAGTTATTTGATGTCAAAGAAGTCTGTTCGAGTGAACTGTATGGTACTTGAATTATACCTCCATAAAGCTGTTTTTTAAAAAAGTCTGTTCATAAATAAGTAGAGATGTACAGATTACCCTGGGTATGAGACACCAAAAAGTAAACCTTCTTTACAAGAAAATTCCCCCACTAGTATTCAGGAAACACATTTCAGTCTTCGTTGTGCAAACAAGTTTGTTGTATTGGAGAAGCTGCTTATGTCACATTGAAGATGCTAAAAACTTAAGTGTTTGCAGGTCCTTTCTTCACAGGTTTGAACCACGTAGTTAATGTGGCAAAGACACATCACACTGTGCTAAAACATTCTCATGGCTTATTTGCATTGGATTCACAGTACTAGAGTCAACAGCCATTCTGAAGAAGTAGACGTGGTCCTTCATTTACCACAAGGGCAGAGGTGAAGGCCGACAGCAGCTGTGCGTCAATACGTTGAAATCGCTACGTTGGGAGTCGGGCGCTGACACGAGACTCAGGCCTGCTGGATCTGTTTCTGGTCACAGGGCCGTTGTGCGGTTTCAAAGTGCTGTGTGGCTGTTACAGGTACTCCAGTTCCAAGGCGTGGTGGAGGGCCATGAGGTCTGAGTGACTGGAAATCCTCCAGAATGGCATGGCGTGCTACAAGAGGGCAGACACACGGTGAGGACAGAGAACGCTCCCAGCCCCCAAAGCCCTTAAAACCACTTTCGAAATCCACTACAATGCTCGTCTCTTTTCAGTACTGTGAAAAATGCCAGTCAGGATCTTAACATCACATCTGTTTAAAACAAAAATTCAAACTTAATCCTCCCCTAAGAATACTGGACTGCATTTAAAAATGTAATCTGGAGTCTGTTTCTTTTAAGAAGGTGATGGCTATTTCTTAAGTAGATCTACCCTGTGACTTTAACACCAATTCCAAACTTTAAATTAACCATAGTAGCTATGAATGAACCTTGTCGAAAATAATTGCTGTTCAGAATATGTATCTGGTGGATTTTTTTTTTTGCTAAGGAAGATTCACCCTGAACTAGCATCTGTTGCCAATCTTCCTCTTTTTGCTTGAAGAAGATTGGCCCTGAGCTAACATCTGTGTCAGTCTTCTTCTATTTTGTATGTGGGTCGCTGCCACAGCCTGACCGCCAGGTGAGTGGTGTAGGTCCATGCCCGGGAACCAATCCTGGGCTGCCAAAGCGGAGTGCACCAAACTTAACCACTAGGCCATGGGGCCAGCCCCTCCAGTGGATCTTTCATCTGAAAGTTTAAGCAGTTTTACTTGCTTGGTACTATTATACATTTTTCAAAACTTTATGTCACTTCATGTAAGAAGCAACTTTTTTTCCATTTATTTCCATCAGGCATTCTTCACATTGACCTTAAAATGACTTTATTATATGGGAAAATGTTAATTGAACATCCAAGGTATTGTTTTCTGTAGCTGTTCTTTAAAACATCAATCTAAAAATCTAGCTTAACTGATAGGAATGTTTGTGAAACACCTGAATTAATCAGAAATAAGAAAAACAGGAACAAAAAACAGAGGTTACCTCATCCAAAAAGGATGAAAACATGATTATAAACTTTCACTGTTCAAAAGCACTATAGTAAGCACTGATGCATTGGCAAAATCTTTTTCTTAAATAAGAAAAAGATAACCATCATCTTTCAGAGGACAAAAATCTCTCTAGCCTATAGAAAAACAGGGTTTTGGGGTTATTTTTACACAAAAAATAATGCGAAGTCCTGAGTATTATTTGCAATTATAGTTCTAAGGAATTTTTTAAAAATTCAAACTAATAGAATTTGGCATGAAAGCAAACAGTGGAATGAGGGGTTTTTGGGGCGGATTATCTGTAGGTAAAAGGGGAAGCTACTATTCTGATGTAGATCACATAACTGTTATTTTCTGGGAATGCAAACTATTAAGTTACTTACTAACAATGTCTTTGTCTCATGTAATCTGCTAAAAGCATATACCAGAGTCCAACAGCATATGTAGACCTTTCTGGACTCTATATGATTTTGGAGCATCTCTAGATGTGTGTTACCCTTCAATAACAGAATAGTCCAGAACTGAGCACTAGAGAGCTCTTTTCTGATTTTTAGGATGATCTACTTGGCAACTTTAGATTATAAAAAGAGCCTGGACTATTTTGTATTCATTTATTCACGAATGAATGAATATTTTGAGTTCGCAGGCATGATGTGGAAGATCATCTCTGTCCCTGGTCCACTGTCTCACAGTCTGTGGGTGAGTAGCAAAGATGTACAACCATTATGAGTGTTCACCTATGTGTTACTATAGGAGTAGGAGGGGCCAATTTCTGTTGCCTGGGGATCTGGAATAAGAGGAGGTGATAACTGAGCATGGTACGGAAGGATGACCATTCAGAAGAGCACTTGAATGGCTGTGTGTATGTGTTGAGGGCAGAGCATAAAGAATAAATTCCCTGTTAGGATACTGGCTGTGTGAGAGAGAAAGACATGGCTGGTGACATGACTGGCTGCAGGAGCCAAATGGTGCAGGGCCTGCTAAGCTCTAAGAAATTTACTAATAAACATGATAGGGAGCATTCACTGAGTTTGGTGCGAGGCACTGTCCTAAGTACTTTACACAGACTCTCTCATTTAAGCCTCTCTGTAACTTCAGAGATAGATAAGTATTATTATCATTATTTTACTCACGAAAAACTGAGGCTTACAGAAGGAGTAGGAAGGAGTGAACCCAAGATTCATGCAGGTCTGGTCTGAATCTGGAGCCCACATGCTGCAATGCTTCCTAACTGTTCCTTATCGGCACCATAGCACAGCTTAAAAGACACACTCCCTTTCATGCTCTGTGGGGTGAGTGACTATGATACATAGATCGGGTTTGCAAAATGTTTCATCAGTTACAATACAGAAAGCGTTCCTTCTCTCTCTCTTATTAGAACAGAAATCCATGTGTACTGTAAAACATTTGTAAAATGTAGACCTGTATGAAGAAATACAAATCACTTCTAACCCTACTACCCAGGTAACCTCCATAAACATTTTTCTATATTTCATATATATACACACTCATATTTGAAACTGTGTATATACAGTATGTATCATTCAGCATCCTGACCATTTTACTTCTTAATCTCAAGTCCTTTTTTTTTTTTTTTTTTTTTTGGTGAGGAAGATTGGCCCTGAGCTAACATTTGTTGCTGATCTTCCTCTTTTCGCTTGAGGAAGATTGTTGCTGAGTTAACATCTGTGCCCATCTTCCTCTACTATTTTGTACGTAAGACACCACCACAGCATGGCTTGATGAGCAGTGTGTGGGGCCATGCCCAGGATCTGAACCTGCAAACTCTGGCCCACCAATGTGGAGCCTGTGAACTTAACCACTACACCACTGGGCCGGCCCCTCTCAAGTCCATTTTTAACACATCATTTTTAAAGAGAATCATTCACTCATTATTTATTTTAAAAGTTTTCAAGGATTCAACTGTACACAATGTTCTTTTATGTTTAACCATCTACTTGGTATCTATTTTAACATCCCTTTTTAATTTCCAATTAACTTGTGTTATTTTCTTTATTTTTGTATTAATTTCCTCTAATTGCCCCAAAGCTGTGTCTCACGAAGAATGAATAAAGGGAGCTATGGTGTAGCTCTATTGATTTTAGGTACCATTATTTCAGGCTGTCACAGAGGATGCTGAAGGCTCTTCAGATAGCCATCCAGAAACTTTCTGGACAAACACCTCCATAAACACATACTTGTGAGAACTGGAATGCATTTTTCAGAGTAGGTTCATTCAAATTCTTTTCATGCTGATTATCTGAAATTAGATGTTTCCCGTGGACGACAATACAAATTTGAAAGCTTGGTGCCCTCAGCAGCATGTATTGTTGAATGTAATGAGTGGCAGAGAAACTGAAAAAAATCCAGCTAATTCTTTGGTACATGGCTAAGGTATAAATCGGGCATTTAATTTCGTAGTAAACACATGACCCATGCAATAACTACGTGTCTTAACTTATCTTCACACGTGTAGGAGTTGATGCCAGCTTAGATGTGCATTTAATTTCAACTGTTTTACTTTTGAACCTTACTCAAAAGATTTATGGAAAGGTGAGATTATCCACAAAGAGCCTTGAATTGGCTTGTTTACTGCACTAAAATACTAATGGCTTCAGTCTTCCTGTATAGAGTATGAATAAGAACCACATGGTAAAGTGGCACCCTGAAACAGGTTCAAATGATGAAATACACCTGTGGCATATTACAGACAACTCATCACAATGCAGTGATGATGGGTCGTTTACTCGAGCAAAAGTGCAAAGGGTCCTACAATGATAACTGCCAAGCTTAGGAGTATGTGAAAGAACGAGCAGTCTTGGGGACACTCCTACACAAGGGCAGCAACTCCACCCTGAGCATTGCTTCATAATATGAAGGGTGGTGATCTCTGGTACAATCAATCAGCAGTTCCATTCTCACAAAAATTACTGGGCTTCTTCTCTAAAAAGGTACCTTTAATATTAAGCAAGTGATTATAAGAAGACTGAGTCCAGGGGACTCAAACTCGTGTCAACAAATAACTAGAACTAATATTGCAAAATAACATTTTCCCTAACTGGGCACACGCTGATGTGAAGATTTTATGGGTCTATAAGAGCTCCCTAGGACAAGTGGGTGCAAAGTACACAATTTTTGGCAAATCAGTGTTTAGCCTGGAATAAATATTTCTTATATGAAGTCACAGAGTTATGGTGGCAAAAGAGGAAAAGAAAAGCAGGTGCTAGAATGAGGAGACCTACATTTTCAACTCTGACATTAGTTATGTGACTTTGAATTATGACATAGGCTCCCTAGAGCCTCAGTTTATTTATCTGTAAAATGAGGTTTAGGAGAAATGACTCACGCTTGCTTCTCGGTTTAATAAAGTCTATGGCCTGTACTGTACTGTAGCTACAGCAAGTGTGTAAAATAATATGCATACATGACATGTGCCCCCCTACCAAGAACCAGCAGGCAAGATATATCTGCTGAAACGACTTCATTACAATGTAAGGCAGTGTGAGATTGACTTAAAATGACCTAGCCAGAGCCATCAGGCAAGAAAAAGAAAAGGCATCAGAATTGGAAAAATTGAATATTCACATGTAAAAGAATGAAATTAAGACTCCTATCTTACACCACTCACAAAAATTAACTCAAAATGGATTACAGACTTAAATGTAACACTGGAAACCATAAAACTCCTAAAAGAAAACACACGAAAAAAAGTTCCTTGACAGGGGTCTTGGCAATAATTTTTTGGACGTGACACTTAAAGCATAAGCAACAAAATAAAAAATAAACAAGTAGGACTACATCAAACTAAAAAGCTTCTGCACAGCAAAAGAAAAATCAACAAAATGAAAAGACAAGAAATATTTGCAAACCATATATCTGATAAGGGGTTAATATCCACATATATAAAGAACTCGTACAATTCAATAGCAGAACAACCAACAATCCAATTAAAAAATGGGCAAAGGGCCTGAATAAATGTTTTTCTAAAGAAAATATACAAATGGCCAACAGGTACATGAAAAGGTGCTCAGCATCACTAATCATCAGGAAAACGCAAATCAAAACCACAATGAGATATCACCTCACA